CTTGGTAAATATTTTTTTTCATTTTCCTGAAGTTTAATCGAACGTAAATGGCCCTGCAACAACAAAATTCACACAAAATAATCATAAAACAATCGTCCCCATTTACGTCGCAACGGTAACATCTCCACACATGGGAGCATCCGCATGCATAATGTCACAGAACATGGGTGCTGCTCATTGGAGAATGGAATGGAAAATGTAGGGCGACATGACCTTTTATATGCCTACCTATGCTTCCTTTACGTTTGATTGTAATGGTAGAGTTTTTCCAACATTTACGAAAGAAAATTGTATCGATATTGTCATAAATAGTATTTGGTACAGAGTAAAATAAAGGCCACGTATGTCGATTGTACGCTGGTGTTGCACTAGCAGGCAATGCCATGTGAGCTGGCTGTTGTAACGCACATGGCCATCCGCATACAGATAAGGGATCACTCACACGTACAGACGACACACACACTCTCACCGGTACTCTGTTGACTATCAATGCTATCGATTTTAATGAGTATCTACCTTTAGGGTTAAGCCAAGCACGGATATGGGATATAATGATTTCGATACACCTATACAGCATGACGGTACATGGGTGACGTTACACAACGAACGGTACACATGTATGTTCGTATGTATGAAATTAAGCACACAATCACGTGATTGTACGCGGTGATAGTGTGGGTGTGAGAGGCGGAGGCTGAATGGCTGTACTTACCCACCTACATACGTAATGAATTACATCGACATGTAACGACTTATTTGTACAGACAATAACCGGCGAAGAGCAGCGGGATAGGATCAAGGACCAATATAAATTGAAGTCTTGTACAGTGGTGTAAAATATAGAGTGCGTGCCCTGATTAAAAAACGAAACGAAATAGACCCATGCAAACGAATATCCTTTAGGGGAATATTGTTTTATATGCGCATATAAGTCTATGTGTGTGTGTGCTGCTGTGCGAACATGTTCTCTACATATAATAAAAATATAATTCCCAGGAAATGTTAAGATATAATCCTTACATTATTTAATATTCAAAAAGGTTGAGGGGGTTTTTTGCTGGTGTAATTACAACATACATATCTATAGAAAAAAGAAGAAGGAAATATAAACAATTGAATAATTCGTTAAGACAGATTAAGGACAATGCATACCTATGAATTTATCGAAAATAAGATTTTTTTTGTTTTTTGGGTTGTGGGTTGGAGGAAAGGAAATTCATCTGTAGAACATTAAGTGTGCTCAAGTAAATCAACAGGACAATTTGGAAGATGACAATCCAAATAAATTATGAAGTAATTATAATTTCTTTGGTTATTGGGGAAAGTGTGGTAATTAATTTTCATTCATAACAGCGTGTAAGAGAATTGATAAGAAAGTATCAGTTGTACTTGTGAGATAACGTGTACACATATGCAATAATGTATAATAATAACTATATTTAATAATAACAATTATATATTAACAAATATAAAAGTTTGATTTTCGAGTTTGGATTTCGCGGAAATAAGTATTTATATCAGATGCAATTTTTTCAAAATTAATTAACATTGAAGGAAATTTTATTAAAGAATAAAAAAAGAAAAAAAAATGACTCATTTTTATACCCTTCACCACACCATAGTATGGTATTTGTACATACGTTTGTAACATGCAAAAGGAAATGAGATAGACCCATGGTTCCTTTGGAGGTTCATGGTTCACTTTCTCAGTTAAACTCCCAACATTTGCCAATTGAGACAACATTTTGGAAAGCATACTGAAATTAGTACAGGTTGACGTACGTGAGGTTTCGTTACAATCGGTTCTTATATATATATATATATATATATACCGTTCACCACACTGCGGTACAGGGTATTATGTCTTTGTTTGTAACAGGTCTAGAATGATGCGTGTTAAGTTTCGCGGAAATAGATTCAGATTTAGATATAGCTCCCATATATAGTTTCGTCCGATTTTATGTAAATTGTATGTCAAAGTCCCTATATATCTTTGGATTAGCACGAAATTTGGCATAGCGTAATAAATTATGTCTTGAATGATAAGTGTTAAGTTTCGCGAAAATCGGTTCAGATTTAGATAAAGCTTCCATATATTTATACCCTTCACCACACTGTGGTACATATGTTTGTAACAGGCATAAGGAAACGAGATAGACACATGGTTCCTTTTGAAAATATGCATAGAATTTTTTTTTGAGTCGATTTACGCATGTCATTCTGTCCGTCCGTCCATGTATTTATGTGAACAAAGTATAGATCGCATTTATGATCCGATTTGGATGAAATTTGGCATAGGTCTCTTATTGGGCTCAAAGACGAACCCTATTGAAATTGCGAAAAATCGGTTCAAATTTAGATATAGCTCCCAATATATATTTTCGTCCGATTTAATGTAAATGTTGTACCACAGTTCCTATATATCTCTCGATTTGCACGAAATTTTGCTCAGCGTAATGAATTAGGTCTAGAATGATGTGTGTTAAGATTCCAGAAAATTGGTTCAGATTTAGATATAGCACCCATATATATTTTCGTCCGATTTAAGGTAAATGGTACACGAAGGTCCCTATATAGCTTTCGATTTACACGAAATTTGGCACTGCGTAATGTATTAGGCCTAGAATGATGTGCGTTAAGTTTCCTGAAAATCGGTCCATATCTAGATATAGCTCCCATATATATTTTCGTCCGATTTAAGGTAAATGGTGTATCAATGTCCCTAGATACCTTTCGATTTGCACACAATTTGGCATAGCGTAATGAATTAGGTCTAGAATGATGCGTGTTAAGTTTCTGTTAGGATTCATCTGTTGAATATACCCAAAGTGGTGAAGGGTATCATATAGTCGGCCCCGTCCGACTTTACTACTTTCCTTACTGGTTTTGTCTGATATTATGTAAATGGAGCACCAAACATCCAAGCATTGTCCAACTGAGAACAAATGTTAAACAGGTCACTAATTTTAGTACAGACTTCACGAAACCTGTCATCACATGAACAGGTTTCGTGAAGTTTTTTGAAATCGATTCAGATTTAGATATAACTATCATATATATTTTCGCCCGATTTTATGTACATGGTGAATGAAAGATTCAAAATTGATCCAACGTCTATTTGGATATCATATAACCCCGTCCGACTATACTATTTTCCTTACTGGTTTTAAATGCTAATGCTTTGTTTTGTTTGATTTGCCGAATCAGTGTCTAATGACCAGATGAAGAAGTTTTTCGATTAAATTTATAATGGTTTAAACTTGTTGAATTTCCTTGGGGAGATGCCGAAAACTATATAATTTGACCATCTGTGGGGAGTTACCAGCAAATGTTGCCTTATATTTCCCATTCTCCCATCATTTGTTTCATATCAAATTTACAATTCTTTTAACGCTGGCCCATTTTTGGACTTAGTCTAGGTTTGGTATAACTAGTACGATGTGTAAATTTCGGATAAAATCGGATTCTACTTCCCTGGATATTGGATCGATCCCATCTTCGGACATGACCTAGGTTTAGTAAACATATTGTGATATTCAAAATCGACAAAAAACAGTTTGTAACGGATTCGGTCCAAAAAATGCCCAATATTTTGATGAGGCACAATTTTTTCGTGCTCTTATTCTTATAGAAGATTTGGAAGTCTTCTTATAGAATAGCTTAAGGTCTCCTTATAGAAGAGCTCTGCTACAAGAAGACTTCCAGGTCTTCGATAAAAAGAGCTCCAGGTCATTGATAAGAATGTCGCATGTTCTTCTATAATAAGACTTCTAGGTCTTCTATAGAAATACCTCCAGCTCTGATATAAGTATATCTCCAGGGTCTTCTATAAGAGCTCTTGGTCTTCTATAAGAAGATCTTCGAAAAGAAGAAGTATATATAGCTTATTTTTGCATAAGGCAAGTAAAAATTTTTTAAAAAAATTTTGAAAAAAATTTTAAAAGTTTTAAAAATGTTAAAACTATTTTTTTTAACATTTCTAGTTCTTTCTTTTAGATGTCCAGAATAATGAGCAACCCATAAGGCCTTTTCAAGGAATATAAATTGAAATCGTAATAAGTAGATTGCGATTGAGTTCTTCGAAGAGTATACAAAATTGGACTAAGCGGATGGACCATTAGAGGAGCAGTCGCGGTCAACATTTCATGAAATAATCTTCTATTTAATTTTCGTGAAATTTCTGCAAAAACTACAGACTACTAAATTGTGGTGTATCACTCAGACTTCACCGTCCTACTTTCCTCAAACCAAACAGACGACATTAATTTTTGAAGAGGTTCTTCCACGAAATACTTTCGTTGGATTTGGCTCGTCTTCGGACGTAAACTAACTCATAAATGTTCCTTTCAATTTTAAAATAATAAACGTTAAAACTCTTGAAGATAAAAATATAAAATCGCCAAACCACTGTGCATTCTGTCGCTAAGCTTACCACCAAAGTTGAAATGCTATACATAACCTTTTGCTTGGCTAGCTATTTAGCCAACTAGCCATTGGCATTTGGTTGCGTTAAAAATCACACCACCACAGCCGCAAAACTTGATTTAGGTCCCCTCCATTTTTCAAAGGTTCTGTTTATCATTTACGCTTGCAAAAACGTATTATGTGGTCAACATGAACAACCTGAGGTAACGCCATTCCAAAATAATTTTCAGACAGAAAAAAATTGAAAATAGGCGCAACTGACAAACTTTTGCATTTATAAATTTTAGGATTTAATATTGTGGATGGTAATTTAGGAACATTTAAAAGTTTGCAAAAGAATGACACTATAGGGGAGGCATTGAATCAGGTATTGACTGTAGCTGGCTATCAGAATAGAATTAAAAATTGAGAAATGCATGTCTGTCCGCCTTTTTGAAAAGGTTTTTTTTATATTAAAGTACAAGTTCTATTGAATATCTCATGTTTGAATTTCAATTATGAAGAATAGTTTTGAGATCAAATTCTGAGACATCAGTTTGTAATTAAATATCCTCAAATGTCTTCTCCATACTTACTTGTTACTGAACAACGGCTGGCCATTCATCCAATCCTCTGAGAATATGTGCAGCGATGTCGGTCGTGGTCCACTTTGTGCCGGACACACCACCCGCATCGGTTTCAACGGACGTCCCGAATAAATCATAAGACGATTTTTCGTATGGCAGCGCATAGCATCTTCTGAGGTGGGATCAACGGGCAGATAAGAGCCCCATGTTTGTACAAACAACGATTTATCTAACGATTGAGCCTCAATATACCACGAGAGGCCTTCACAGCTAGAATCTTGTGATTTCATTGGATATTTAATTTCATCTTCACCACCGGCACCCTTCAATTTCAGACGTTTACGACAATCACTGACACGTTTAAATTCATACGAAGCAAAGAAATTGACATCGGCAAAATCTTCGGAAATATTTAATCTTGTAACGGTAAATGTCAGCTCCATTATTCTTGAATTCGATATGAATGTCAATGGTGCATTATTGTATAATGCTGATGAATTATCACAAAAACAACCCATTTGTATTTTAACATCCCGAAAGGGTACATCGTATAGCTTCAGTTCGGTAATACGTCCATCCGGATCCAATTGATTACATTTTGGTCGTCCGGTATGTAAATCGTTGTCGGTGGTACAAGTTGTACCCTCACCAAAGGATACATTGTGCAAAACGAGACGTACTCTTTCCGATGGGCCAGCTTCGAAACGATATAAACATGTAAGATTTTTCGCACCTCCCCTCCCGTAAAGGAAGACATTGCGCGGTACTTGAATGTTACCCTTACGTTTTCGAAATACTCTTGAACACAATGGTGGTACTGGCTCTTCTCCACGTCGTCCCGGCCATGGTTCACCGCCCTGTTCGGTATCGACAAATTCATAGTTGAGGGAGAATTGTGCTGGAAATAGTGCGGTGCCAGTATGGGTGTGGAATTCCAATTTCTGTAAAGGGATGAATTTAAAAATAATTCTTAATAAAAATATTCAGATTTTTAGGTTTGTTTGAAACAAAAGAACATTAATGTAAAAACCTGTAAGGAAAATTCAAAAGTCGGACGGGGCCGACTATATGATACTCTTCACCACTATGGGTACATACAAGAGGCACTAATATCTTTAGTGGAGCTTTGAAATGGAATCATGCGAAACTAAACGTGTGATCTACATAGGTACTTGAACCTATTACAAAACCCCATAGGCATATCATTCTGAAATCCATGAAAAATTCCATGTCAATCGGGGAGACTTGGATTCTTTGATGTACCATTTGTATGAAACTGAGCAAAATTATGTATGTATGCTACAACACAAAGCGCTATCCACAATTTTATCTTGTGTATATGGAACAGACGTAAGTTCATCTGTGAACCATACACAGTCAATCGAAAATATATATGGAAGATACATCTAAATCTAAACCGATTTTGGCGAAGCTTAACACCCATCATTCTAGACTCAATTCAGTACGCTATACCCAATTTCGTGCAGATCGAAAGAAATATAAGGGATTAATATAAAATCGGACGAAAATATATATTGGAATTATATGTAAATCTGAACAGATTTTCACGAAACTTAACACATATCATTCCAGACATAATTCAGCACGAAAATATATATGGGAGCTATATCTAAATCTGAACTCATTTTTCAATTTCAATTTCAGTAGGGTTCATCCTAGGGTCAAATAAGTGAGCTGAGCCAAATTTCATCCAAATCGGATCATAAATGCGACCTGTACTTTGTTTAAAAGAATACATGCACAGACGGACGGACATGGGTAAATCGTCTCAAAAGGTGATTCTATGCATATTCTCAGAAGTAACCATGTAACTATCTCGTTTCCTTTTGCCTGTTACAAACATATGTACAAAGACATAATACCCTGTACCACAGTGTGGTGACGGGTATAACAAATACTTAGTATTCCCCCTATCCGATACATATATCAATATTATTTATAAATGTTGTGATCTACAGTAAAACTTGAGATATTAGAGAACGAGATCCATTAGGTCCTTTAAACATAGTCGGATCATCGCAATAAACTGTAGGCGTCGTCCTTGGCTAAAACCGTACCTCCGCAATAGCACCCAAACGGTAACCTCACTGTACAATTTATTTCTGCTCAGTAGTATTTGAGGCGGTTTCACCATTCTGAACTTAGATGGAGTAAACCAATAAAATTACTATTGTTTGTTATTCTGCAGTTATATTGATCCCTGAATACAGCATCAAATTTAATCTGCCTGAGAGATCTAAAGGCTCAATTTAGTACCTTCAAATCCATCGTTAGGTAATGAAGTTCCCTTCCCTTCCCTGTGGCTATAATAGAACTCAAACAATTACAACAAAATATAACAGCCGGATTTAAAACTGCGGATTAGTAGATTTAGAGGCGGATACGAGGGCAATTCGGAAAGTTCTTAGCCTAGCACAAAAAGCGCGGTACAAAAAGAAAAAAGTTAAGTGTTTTGGAAACTTCCATTTCTGTTATGAACACATGTTCAATTTTGTTTCGATCTGGCAACTCCTTCATATAGAAACACGTGTTCAAAAAGGCGCATCCGCAATTGCTTGCAATGAAAACCAGTAAGGAAAGTAGTAAAGTCGGACGGGGCCGACTATATGATACCCTTCACCACTTTGGGTATATTCAACAGATAAATCCATGTCATTCTGCAACCTATACTAATTTTTTTTCATTTGGTCAGATAAAGAAGCTATATCTAAATCTGAACCGATTTCAACGATTTCAGGAAATTTAACACACATCATTCTAGACCTAATTAATTGCACTGTGCCATATTTCGTGCAAACCGAAAGATATTAAGGGACTTTGGTACACCATTTACCTTAAATTGGACAAACATATATATGGGAGCCATATCTAAATCTGAACCGATTTTTACGAAACTTAAAAACACATCATTCTAGACCTAATTCATTACGCTGTGCCAAATTTCGTGCAAATCGAAAGCTATATAGGGACTTTGGTCCACCATTTACATAAATCGGACGAAAATATATATGGGAGATATATCTAAATCAGAACCGATTTTCATGAAACTTAGCACACATCATTCTAGGCCTAATTCATTACGCTGTGCTAAATTTCGTGCAAATTGAAAGGTATATATAAATCTGAACCTATATATATATACATATATATCTAAATCTTAGCCGATTTTCAAGAAACTCAGCACACATCATTCTGCACTTAATGCAGAACGCTGTGCCAAATTTCGTGCAAATCGAATGATATATAGGGACTTTGGTGCACCATTTACATAAAATCGGACGAAACTATATGTGGGAGCTATATCTAAATCTGAACTGATTTTTATGAAACTCAGCACACATCATTCTAGGCCTAATTCATTACGCTGTGCCAAATTTCGTGCAAATCGAATGATATATGGGGACTTTGGTGCACCATTTACATAAATCGGACGAAAATATATTTGGGAGCTATATCTAAATCTGAACCGATTTTCACCAAACTCAGCACACATCATTCTGCACTTAATACAGAATGCTCTGTCAAATTTCGTGCAAATCGAATGATATATAGGGACTTTGGTGCACCATTTACGTAAAATCGGCCGAAACTATATATGGGAGCTATATCTAAATCTGAGCTGATTTTAACGAAATTTAGCACAGATCATTCTAGACTTAATTGAATACGATATGCTAAATTTCGTGCAAATCGAAAGATATATAGGGACTTTGGTGCACCATTTACATAAATCGGACGAAAATATATGTGGGACTATATCTAAATCTGAACTGATTTCTACGAAGCTTAAAACACATCATTCTAGGTCTAATTCATTACGCTGTGCCAAATTTCGTGCAACTCGAAAGATATATAGGGACTTTGGTGCACCATTGGACGAAATTGGACGAAAATATATATGGGAGCTATATCTAAATCTGAACCGATTTTCACGAAATTTAGCACACATCATTCTAGACTTAATTTAATACGATATGCTAAATTTCGTGCAAATAGAAAGATAAATAGGGACTTTGGTGGTCCATTTACATTAAATCGGACGAAAATATTTAATGCAAAATTTCAATAGGGTTCGTCCTTGGGCCAAATAAGTGACGTATGCCAAATTTCATCCAAATCGGATCATAAATGCGACCTGTACTTTGTTCACAAAAATACATGGACGATTTACGGACGGACATGCGTAAATCGACTCAGAAAGTGGTTCTATGCATATTCTCAAAAGGAACCATGTGTCTATCTCGTTTCCTTTTGCCTGTTACAAACATATGCACAAAGACATAATACGCTGTACCACAGTGTGGTGAAGGGTATAAAAATTAAGAATTTGCAATACCAATCATCCTAGGGTAATAGCACTGCAATGCTCTATCTCAAATTCTGCGATATCTATCGTGATTTCGCGGTACTTATACCAGAACTGTGAAAACTAAATGATAAAACATCATCCTCATCCGATAGTCGATATGACCTTAAAACGGAACGGATTTCTACAAACTATTTCCGATATCATGCATAGTGCTCTGGTAATTGTGTCAAAAGTTGCCCAGGCCTACGGTATTGATACCAAACCTACAAGGAGTCACAAAGTAACATTAGAACTCAAATATTATTTTAGCAATATTAAATGGGGTAGCTTCGGATTTCTCATTAGATGTTAAATACTTCGGAACAGTAATTGACCACCAATTAGCGTAGAAGGAAGAAAAAGCTGGGGATCCTTATCCAATATACATAGTGTGTAGCTATCGACATTCCCCATTATGACTGGGGCTCTCATCTCAAGCCACTGGTTTTGGTTAAGTTCCAAGCAACAAAATGCAGTTTAAAGGCTAAACGAAACAGAAGCGCTATGAACTTTGAAATCAGGACATATTAGTGTGTAATCTCCACAATCCTCTTATTTTCATTTTCCCTAAGAACATTGAAATTCAGTCATTAAAAAAAACAATTCTCCATTGATACTTTTAGCCAGGCCAATCCCTTATCAATTTTAATTTATTTTGACCCCATTCATACCACAGCAATCACCAAAAAATAGAACATTTCGCCCCTCTATTACAAAACAAACCTTAAAAGTCATTTTAAGCCACATAATCTTCTAAATGTTTTCTGGTTGTTACTCTGTGGTTATTTGTCCGGTAAATGGAGGGGGAGAGACAAATTAGTGGCAACAAATCAATCAAATTATCGAATAAAATTATTTAGCTAAGAGGGTGAAAGTTTTATTTTACCCTATTTTTTAGCCCAAAGTTAGTAACGGGCGCTACCAACCCTCCCTTTCAACTGAGATTAGCACAAGAGACAACTGTTTCAATTTGCAATGAAATCGAAAATTAATATTTTCAATTTTCCGCAAGCTACTAATTTTTCTTCGTCTTCTTCTTCCAACCAAACAAACTCCTCACCTCGAACTTTGTTGCAGTTTTGTTGTGATAAAAAAATGTAAAAAATCTGTCAATATTTACACCCTCTGTCAAAGCTCAAAAGGTGGTAAATACCACTAGGAATGAGGCAAAAGGCAACTGAAATTTGAAGAAGACGATGGAAAAAACGCAACAGCCAACGACAACAAACTGTTATATAAATTGCAATTTAGGTACCCGTATTTACCCACAGCTTGATTCGCAATGTTATTTGGTTTAGTCGTTTTTTTAATTTTTTGTTTCCTTTCGGTTTGAGAGGAGTAGTTCCTTTGCCAGTTTTTCAAATGCTCTGCAGGGGCAAGAAAAATATGCAGGCAAAAGTGAACGATACATTAGAAGAAGTTGAGGTTGTTGTGGTGCTGGTGTTTGAGAGTTGGCAAGAAAATTTAAAAAATTAAATTGGTCGATTTTAGGCTGATTTGGTATTTTTGGATCCCGCACAATTTGGCAATGGTTCAAAAGGAGACTCGCATCAAGTCTTGCAAAAAAATTGA